CGCTAAAACTGTATTTTTACTTGATACTTTTTTAGTGTAAATCATAGATTTGTTTATTTATTTGAAATCAATTTTCTAAAAATCTGACTGTAGGATTTCATTAATTTTTTTTAAAACTTCAGATAAATATGTTCTATACGTATGATATTTTTCTGGTCATTGCTTCAACTTTTTTTCTATATAAATTTTTTTTTTTTTCTATTATGACTATTTCCTTATATATCTGACTTTTATATATGACTATTTTCTTATTTACTGTTATGACTATTTCCTTATATAAGTGCAATTTCATTATTTATTTTATTATTTACTATATATATATATATATATATATATATATATATATATATATATATATATATATATATATATATATATATATATATATATATATGTATATATATATATATACATATATAAGCATTATTGTAGTAAATTACAATGTAATATATATATATATATATATATATATATAAACACACACACACACACATATATATATATATATATATATATATATATATATATATATATATATATATATATATATATATATATATATATATATATATATATATATATATATATATATGTATATATATATATATACACATATAAGCATTATTGAAGTAAATTACAATGTAATATATATATATATATATATATGTATGTATATATATATATATATATATATATATATATATATATATATATATATATATATATATATATATATATATATATATATATATATATATATATATATATATATATATTTATATGTATGCAATAAAGTAAAAAACACTTCAAAACACTGGAAGCAATAGCAAAAAAAAATATTATCAATATAAAACATATTTATCTAAAGTTAAAAAAAATATTATCATTTAATAGGATTTTCCAAAACAAACTTTTTTGATCAATGTATGCTTACTGTGTTTTATATAATAAAAAACAATTAGTTTTTAAAATTTTTTGAAAAATCAAGACCATTATTTTTTTTATAACTATTACGAACATAACAAGTTCCTAATAATAATATCAATAAGTGTATTATGTATAAGTTATATCATAATGGTCATATGATAAGTATTATGATTAAATTATATTATAGTGGGTCTCAAGTGAAGCAAAATTATATGAAAATTTCAAAAAATATATTGCCAAAAATTTGTAATAATGGACATTTTTCTTTTTTAGTTAATAAAAGTCATTTTTTATGGTGTTAAATCTAACATATTTTTTAACATATTTTTTAAGTATAAATATGCAAATATATGCATTTAAACAGTTTATATATGCAAATATATATGCAATAACACAGTTTAAAAAAAAATACTTGCATCATAAGAAGCAGGTCTTTATTCACTTATTTTTTTATATTACTTGCAAAGAATTTTACTGCGAAAAAATATTTGCATATCAGGTAAAAAAAACTGTTTTTTAAAAATTTTTGAATAAAAAATATTTTGATGACTCCCTCATAACTCTTAGGAACTTGTTATGTTTTGTTTATTTAGGAACTTGTTATGTTTTGTTTGAGTGTATCATGTTGGGTCTTAAATGAAGGAAAATTATATGAAAATTTCAATGTTAGATTTAACACCATAAAAAATGAATTTTATTAACTAAAAAAGAAAAAGTTTTACCAATTTTTGGCAATATTTTATTGGGTAGCAGTAACAGTATCGAAAACAGCCAAACTGATTAATCTCGAAAAGGGAATAGAATAGAATCGAAATTTCAAAAAACGGAATAAAATCGAAATTGTAAAAAAAGGAACAATATCAAAACGGGACTTTCCGAAATTATATCGAAACTGTGAAAAAAGGAATAAAATCGAAAAAGGACTTTCCAGAATAATATCGAAAAAATGAATTTTAATAATAGGTTTGAAAACTCCAAAAGCGGAATAAATAGACGACAGTTTTTTGCGGTTTTTTGCTGTTTTTAATTAAAGTGTGGTAATTATACAGTATAATTGTATAATTTATACAATATAAACAAAAAGCTCTATTAGTAGAACAAAAAATATTGAATGTTGGGTTGTTGGCTATTTATAACACGATTCAAAACAAGATGTATTGAATTTATTTACAGTAGGCACTTCACACATAATTATTATATTACAATTATCTCTTGTTATAATTAATACCAAAATACGCGGATAACGAAGAAGCTTTCAGAATGTGTTCGTTTTTTAAATTTGGATAATTTAAATTTGTTCCCAAGTTATGAGAATCTATGTTGGGCTCAATAACGCCTATTTCGCGTCAAGATTTGATGAGTTTTTTTTAAGGATTTATGGCACTAAATTTTGATAATAAATTTATTTTTTATATGCTATCAAGAAGTAACTTCATTGAAGTACTTTACTAAAGCATTCAATTCTACAAACTATCATTCTCATATTAGGGGCCCCTAGGTAAGAATTCCACTCCTCGTTTACCCATTTGGGGCAATTGGATCAAAAGCTATAAAAGCTTAATCAAAATTGTAAAAATTAACTTTAGATAAAGAAATAGAGTTTAGAGTTTCAAACGGTCAGGGTGAACGAATTCATTAACATTTATAAATAACAAGAAAATACGTAAAAATATTAGGTCTAATTTCTTCTACAAAACTTTGATTGTTCTTGACCCAATCGCCCATTCAGGACAATAAGGTAAAAATATAAAAATACACAAAGCTTGTTTTCCCATTTTGGGGCAAATTGGGCCAAGAGTAATGGCTCAAATCCTAAATAAGTAAATTTTGAACTCTATTTTATGAAGTGCACCACCAATTTTATGAAATATCATGCAAATAGTTTTGTCGTTACGATGGAAATGTGAACGAAGAGTCACATTATACCTGAAATTTATCATATTTTGATTTTACGCATTGCAACGCGTTAAAGCGAAGTATGATAAAACTCACAAATCCATGTTAATGACAAAACTATGAACTTTACTTATTTTCAGGCTTCTTTATCCGCTTAAATTGTAAATCAAATCCAAATGACGCAGTTATAAATAATGTTGTTTATCATCTGCAACAACAATGTTGTTTTTATCATACATAACGTGTTGTATCTTAGAAATATTAGTGACATCTTTTGGAAATAATAAAAAAGATCGCCTTTGTTTAAATGCTTGACAACATTTGCCCTTTAGTGATTTTTTAACAAAATGATTTTAGGCCCACTGCGTTGAATGTTAACTAAATATTTTATGTAAGCAAAACATAAAATTCCAAAAAGAACTACTAAAAACCTACAATGTAAAAAAAAAAATCGTCCTTACTACAAATTCTAATAGAGGGGAGGGAAAGCGCCTCCTTGACCCCTCCACCATAACGTAGCCAATGTAAGTATATCCCCATGCCGTCGCCCATGTTCAATTATACTTGTTAATATATTATTGACAAAGTACATTCATAAAAACTTTTGTAATGCGTTTTAGGAAACTTGACTAACTTGAAAAACAAAAATATTAGTGAATAAAATATATGAAGATTAGTAAATTTACTAATCTTCTTATAATTTATTTTATGTATAGAAGGTTATTGATTGTACTTTTTATAAAAAGTACAATCAATAACCTTCTATAAATTTACAAGCCCATATCGCAAAGATTTTTAGGTTAGGTTGGTCGTTTCGGAGAAAATTGTGGTCAAGAATAGCAAATCTTAATCAATTTTTATAGCGTGAAATTAAGAGCATTTAGTCAAAAAAGGGATGTCAATCGCTCACAATTATCTCCTCCCCCTCCCCACCCCTACCAACAGTGAGGACGTTATAAATTTAATAGAAACCTACTTTTAATAGAAAATTTATACCAATAGCAACTCTTTAAACAAAATGCATATTTGTTATAAAGCAAATTTAAGATGAAAAAACCTTTTTTATAGCTGTTTTGTGCTGGTCTCTAAAATCTAGGTCTGTGTTTTATATAATCTATAAGGTGTTATATCTTGGAAAGGAAATATTTTCAGCATATGGTTTTCACATACTTTTTGACGAGCTCTTTCCAATTATATAGTTTTTTGTTTAATTTCTATATATTTTTTTGCTGACTGTAACAAGTTATGATCCCGGCCCAAAATGTTTCAGCACTCGTTTTCTTCTTCTTAGTTTTAACTTAGTTAAACAAGTTAAAAGCTAGCTTGACAAGTTAAAACCTAGTTAAAAAAATTTAAAAGCAAAAAGTTGCTTCTAACACGCTTGTGCACACGAAAGTGCTAATCGTAACATAGCAACCCTCACTATAAGTCTTTTGTTGATACTGTCACTTGCTTCAAGGAAACTTATTTAATTTTGCTAGACAAGCAGCTGTAGAACTTTATGCTACATTTATCTATACAATAACTTTAACATGTAAATGACTATTGTTTCTACGGAGATGGAATTTATTTAGTACCTATCCTTAACGTAATATGGGGTTTGCTCAACTGAAATCAATACAATACGCCAACTTACGGAAAATCTTGTAGGCTTAAATGAAATTTAAAGTCATTTATGTAAACTAAAAAATTACGTTATTGATTATTTTTTAATCCAGGCGGAGCAATAGGAAAAAAATTAATACCGCTTTCATTTAATAAATTTTTTCTAATAAATTTAAACAATTGTGTGACATTCTAGTTTTTAAAATATAGGTAAAAGGGAAAATTTTACTGAATCATTGAAAAGGTTCAATTATGGATGATATTGGTCCTCGGCAAGTGGGACAATGAGCTGTGTTGCTTTTTTGGACTTGTTGAATGCAAGGCTGACAAAACAAAAAATGTCTGCAAGGCATTACTAATGCGTTTCGTTCATTGACGGTACAAACAACGCACTTCGGTGGCTCTGTTGAAGTGGAAGTTGGCAAATGAAGACTCTCACCAACCTCGTTCATTGAGTTTTTATCCAAAGCACTAAAAATATTTAAATACAATTTTCCATATTTCATGGAAAGTAACAGATTTTCAAATAAAGTTAAACTAACTAGTTTGGTAAAAAAATTGATAAAGGTTAATAAATAAGAAGTGATATACAAAAACTTGGAAAATTATCTTCCACTACTTTGAAGTATTGAAAGAGATATGATACTGTTGATAGGAATCTCTCAGTTGTCCAAACTCCGTCTCGAAGTTTTTTTTCAAAACAACGCATTTTTTCAATTGCACCATAGTCGCGTTGGTCACTGTTGAAGCTCTTGAATTGTATGGACTATTACATGTTGGTTAAGCAATTTCATAAACTGCTAAAATCCTCTATGTCGATCACCCATGTTTGATTTCAGATGTCTATTGAGACTCTCTGCATTGTTATTGGTTTTGTGGTTCAAGCCATAAACACTGAATCCTTCTGGGGTCACTATATTGAGCCAATACCTATAAAATACCTTTTAAAAGCAAGTAGTTTGAATTTGATTTCGCGAATAAATTGTGCAATCTCTGTAACTTGAGATCCCCAAGCAACCAAGATCTTGTTTGCAGGAAGAAGACAAAGTGCTGAAACTTTTCGTGCCAACATTTTTACTTGAATTTGGTGGCGGTATTCCCTCTGAAGACCAAGAATTGCTAATTGCTTGGTGATTGCATTTTCGAAATGAAACCTAAAGATAAGGGTTTAAAGGAGATCATTAATTGATAACAAACTCTGAAAAACTTGGATAACTTAGAGACTGGAAACTAAGTAAAAACAAAGTAATAACTTATACCTGCAACTATTCACCAAGCTTTCACTCCAAGCTGTTTTTAAAGCATTCTGTAGTCCTCGTTCAAAATCTGATATAATGGTGACTGGAGAGAAATCTAAAACTTCTTTTATTTAGGAAAAGCAAGCATGTATAGAGCCTTGGGTTTCGTTGTCATTAAAGCGCATACAGCTGGAACAGATGCTCCCCAAGTGTGAGGGTTATCAGGATCAAAATTCATCTGATCCTCATCTGGAATTGGATCTTCAAGTACTGCTGAATATTAAAAAAAAAAAAAATCAAGAGCTGATACCACTTGAGAGCTGATACCACTCCTCCAGAGCTGATACCACTCCTCCATGCGTGGTGTCATGCTGGAAGTACAATAAATGTAACTATAACTTAGAACTGTAAATAAAAGTGTTCTACCTAACGTTTTTAATATATCAATTTTTCGTCTACGGGCTGTCCATTAATAACGTCAAAAAAATAAGGGGGTGTCTAAATTTTTTTGAAAATTTTTGCTAAGGGTGAGGGGAGAAGGTCAAGTAAAGTTGACATCAACAATGTTGCTTTATTTTTTTAATTTCATTACTTAAAAAAAGAAAAATTTGGCTGCGTTTTTAGCGCAGCGTTTTTATTTAGGGGAGGAGGGTTATCAAAAATTGACGTAACTTTATAGGGGAAGAAGTGTCTCTGGAAATTTAACAAATTGTTGATATGGGGGAGGGGGTAATATAAAAATTGCCAAAAGTTTGTTGATGTAATTAATGGACAGCCCCCTAGATAAATATATGTTCTTCTAGAACATATATTTTTTTGAAAAAGTTAAATACATACGTATAAATACCTAAATGTTCCATCAACAAAACACACTTTGGCCGATTTCGCCTTGTTGATGACTAGCATATGCCCAAACAGCAATGCTACGTTATCCTGTTCTGCAACTGATCCCAAGAAAATGTCTCCATACCGATGACATTTTTGTCGTTCAGAACTTCAGCAGCTTCATTTGGTGATTTTGGGTTCGAAGGCTCATTTAGCCTTCTCCTTTTCTGAAGACTTGGGATAATTTGACGAAAACTAACAGATTCAGAAACAACTGCAGGAAACTCACTCATAGTGTTTTGAAAAATTGAGCGCAGGTCTTCAGATGTTGCTTCAGCTTATTTCTTCATGGTACTTTTAGCAAGCAGCACTTCAAAGTCTGTTTCTCTTGAACTGCAACTGTGAAGAGTAACCTGAAGTTTATCTTCATGAATCTCTGCCTTTGCAGATCATTCTTGTAAAAAAACGACACTTAAGATGCAGTTTGTCTTTATAAAGTTTATCTTTAGTGTATCCAAAATCACCAGACCAAAACACATTTGAATTTTTTCTTTCTCCTTCAGTTTCATTATAATTTTTTGATATATTCTCTAACGACATTTTGAAATATTGAGTTTCTTAAAGGTTTCTTAAACTTTAAGTTTTAACTCGAACGGAATTTCATAGCACGTGCAAATTAAACTGTTTATTGCGCGTGCAAATTAACTGTTCATTTAAACTGCTGTTCTCCATTGTAGTTAATGCTAACTTTGTGTAAAGTTGATGCGATATTGGGGTGAAAAGTTAGGAAATATTCATCGAACTCTTAAATAAGTTTCTTTTTGAAAAGTGACTTAGTATTAAAAATTTCTTAAGATTTTCTCCTAGTACTAGTTTTTTATAAAAAAAAAAGTGTGATCATAAAATCATATTTTTGATGTTAATCATTAAAAAGAGTTTTTAACAATTAAAAAGAGTTTTTAACAATTAAAAAGAGTTTTTAACAATTAAAAAGAGTATTGTTTTCGACATTAACCAGAAAATCTTATTTTTGATTTTAATCGTTAAAATGAGTTTTCGATCGTATTCTGTTTTTATTGTTTTCGACATCAATCGGAAAATTACGTTTTCGATGTTAATCATTAAAATGAGTTTTCGATCTTATTCTGATTTTATTGTTTTCGACATTAATCTGAAAATCTTATTTTCGATGTTAATCATAAAAACGAGTTTTCGATCTTATTCCTTTTTTGTTTTCGATTTTGTTCCACATGAGTTAATTTCGATATAAAAACTTCTCGACATTAATCAGAAAATCACATTTTCGATGTTAATCAGTTAAATGAGTTTTCAATCTTATTCCGTTTTTATTGTTTTCGATATTGTTTCAAATTTGTGAATTTCGATATAAAAACTTTTCGATATTATTATGAAAATCACATTTTCGATCTTAATCATTAAAATGAGTTTCGGTCAGTTATTTTTCGATACTAATAATTTTTTCGATCAGTTAATTTTCGATACTAATCCGCTTTCCCATTTTATTCATATTTGAAATTTTCATGATTTCGCTAAATTTGAACCGAAATGTCAAGATACACTTTTGAAGATTTCTTTAATTGATAATAATAGGAACTCTTTATATGTTGAAGGGACTCCAAAAATGATTTTTCTTCAAAAAAAATTTTTATCATATAAAACACATTAGGAGGTGGCAGCTATATATATATATATATTTTTAAATATAGCTGCCAATAATTTAAAAATTTTTAAAAAATTTTAATAATAAATAACCTGATAGTAATACAGTGCAATAACGGTTCCAATCATATGTTGAATTAAACATTTAAAAAGCCATATATTTTTTTGTAATATATACATTTTTTTATATATATATATATTACAAAATAAAAAACGAAATGTCTTTGTTTTGCTATTTATTTTTTCTGCACTACGTATGGTGTTGCAGAAATAAAAAACATAATAATTCCCAAAATTTTTTCCATAAAATTTCACATGCTCATATGTCTAAAATCTTTTGTTTGATTTCTGGCTCTTTATGTTATATTCTAATCATAGCATTTGTGATCTCCAAGAAGCATCATTTTCATCAATTTTCGTTCACAAACAAGAGTTGGTAACTTTTAAAATAGTTTCAATACAAGATTTTAACAATTCTTTAACATAAGTTGTGCAAAGAATAGTTGCAGATGAAACTTTTGCTCTTTATACTTTAGTAAAAAATCTATAATAATTATGTCACAAAAGCATTATACAAATAATGGTCAAACTGCAAATATAATATAGAACTACTTTTAGAACTGTTTTATTCATTAGTTTATGTGTTTAAGATGTTCCAGACTTAACGCCATTCCTTTCGAAAAGTTATTTATATTTTGTCCTTTGTTTAACTTTTTTTTGTTTTTGTTTAACTGTAAATAAGTAAGTCAGATAAATCAAATCAATATTAACATAACTAAAAACTAAAATTATTATAAAAAAAAACTATCCCACAAGTAAAATTGCTTAGAGATTATTATTAGATAAAAATATTTTATTATACTTTGTACTAAAGTTTGTTGAATATTGCAACAAAAAAGAATATATATATATATATATATATATATATATATATATATATATATATATATATATATATATATTATATATATATATATATATATATATATATATATATATATATATATATATATATATATATATATATATATATATATATATATATATATATATATATATATATATATATATATATATATATATATATATATATATATATATATATATATATATATATTTATATATTAGTAAATAGTCATAACAGTAAAAACAAATTTTTATATTGAAAAAAGTTGAAGCAATCACCAGAAAATTTTCATAAATATAGTACATATTTATCTGAAGTTTAAAAAAAAATTATTGAAATCCAGTCAGATTTTAAGAAAATTGATATCAAATAAATAAACAAATCTATGAGTTACACTAAAAAGTTGTTAATTGAAAATAAAGTTTAAGTACTCTAAGATATTTTTTATCCTTTTTTTACATATATTTTTGTGAAAATAAGGCTACAACATTGAGTTTTTAGAGACCAAATAACAAATAACACGGTTGCCATATAAAATATACTCTCTAGTTAAGAACCGTAGCCATTTTAAAAGTTCAAATATTTTTTGCATTTTCTCACGCATGCGTACCTAAACATAGCACTTGTAAACAACCGTGTTGCAAGTTTTAAGGGGAAGGGGGTCATTGGGGTTGTAGCCTTCCCCCCCCCCCCGCCCCTTTGGGACCTTTTTCAGAAAAATTCTTTTGTAAATTTACTATTATACAGAATTAGACTATTATACTGACGAAAGAATTGAATAACATACGTAGATAAACTTGATTATTAGACAAAAGTACAAAAAATGAAAAAGAAAGTTACTTATAAATGAAAACATGCGGACCTTTTTTTTTTTTTTGACCTCTTTAGCCCCTCCTTGGCGAGTGACAAAAACCATTCCCCCCCAGATATAAAGCCTTTAATTTTCTGCATGATATTGTTATGTCTCATCTCAACCTTTATTCTCTCCTCTTTCTTTCCTATAAAGTGTTGTATTGTTTTAGACTGAATGGACAAATTCATTACGTCATAAAAACATCTTATGACGAATAGAATTGAATAAAATATAAAAAATAATGATCTTAAAAGACAATAAACTCATTTATCAAATTACGTAACATAATTTATTTGTGTTGTGTTTAAGTTACTCGCGTTATTTTAGCAATATAATCCTTAGATAAATTTATTTACCTAAGGATTATAATTTGATAAATGAGTCATTACCATTTAGAAATTATATAATTCGTCATTTATAAACGTTTTACAACGTTCTTGTTTTGCAATTTTCATCAATAAAACTTAAATAAAAATTAATAACGACAGGAGCAAGTAGAAGACAGAAGTCTTGTCATCAAGCCCCTATTGTAAGCGCAAAGTACTTTTAACAAATTTCTCATTATATAAATTTAAAAATACTCGTTATATAAAAACAAGTTAATACATTATTACAACAAGAATACCATAAATTGCAAAAGATAAATAATCAGATATGTTAAGAAAGTACCTAAATGTAGATATATTAAGTATATAGTTAAATTTAATTTTTTGACGTTTTATGACTCATAAAATTGCAAAAAATAATTTGTTTTTGAAGTTATATTATTTAAAGAAATGTTGTTTTATAAAATTTTGATTTTGATATCACTAGAATCTACAATCCTATCAAAACAATGGCGTTAATAAAGACGCTAATTAAATAGATTATGGTTTTAAAAAAGTAAATCCAAATTTGAAGTACCTTATAAGTCCCATTTAAACGAATATTCTTAGTCACTAAGTAATTTTTCTCGTAGTGTAACTCGTTGAGCTGAGTGCTATGAAACAAACCTTTATAGCTTATATCTTAGCCAATAAGAACTTTTACAACCGTTTCAGTGCTTCTTTAACAACACATTATTTTGATGTTATTGAATTTTTAAACTCAGTTTTTTAATGTTCTTTTAGATTGCACAATAAAAGTTTTTTTTTGTTATTTTTTTTTGTTCTTTTTATTACATTTTAAATAAGCATTTTGTTACAAAATTTAAAATACAAATATGTAGTAATAAAAAAGTATATATATAATGATCGTTATCAAATAATAAAAGAACGCGGGGACTCGTAGAAGACCATACGGCCTTGTCGTCGAGTACCGCAAAGAAATGCTTGTGTTAAAATTTATAAGATATTTACAAGATAAAATATTAGTTAACGAAGTAAGAAACTTGAAATACTCCGTTACAAATACAAGAGACATCATTGCATATTGCAGCTGTTAATGATACATATTTAATTTTTATAAATTCATGTTTAATTAGATGGTAAAAAGGAAGATGACTAAAAAATATCTAAAGTATATTATTAAATCTTCGATTGTATAAATGAGTTCTTTAAGCTTTCGTTTAAAGAAAATAGTTTTTTCGATGAATAAATCCTTAGTAAAATTTTTTAAAACTATTTTATTCCATAAGAATGGTCCGCGATAATCAATACAAAACTTAAAAACTTCACTCGTTTCTGATTTGTTAAAATAATAGTTATTTGAGTGTTTCTCTATGTAATCCCAATAATTTTTATTATAATTTTTTCAATTGTTCATGTACGATTTTCATTTTATAGACTAAAATAATAATATTCAAAGCGTGGTTTGACTTGGCTTACGCATAGTATGAATATATTAACATTTACTAAGGTATAAACTACTGCCAAAATGCAAAAAAATGCAACAAAAAAAGTTGCAAAACCTAGTTAAAAGGACTACCAGTTAGTTAAACAAACAAAAAAATACGTCTCTGTCAACCTATTTTTTAATGGCACTTTAAACCTTCTAAAATACATTTACTTTCAAAGTTAAGTAAAAAAAAAAACAACTTTTTAAACCCTATTGTATAACCATGCAATAGATCTGATTATAAAACAATTTCTTCAGGTTTACAATAAAAAAATAATATTAACTCTTTTTACTCTTTTAGTACAAAAACTAAAATACAGATCAAAAAATTAAAATACAGATCAAAAAACTAAAATACAGATCAAAAAACTAAAATACAGATCAAAAAACTAAAATACAGATCAATTAAGGTGGTAGAGCACAATTAAAACACTAATTTTTGATCAAAATATGAAAATATAATTTTTTAAACAATCTTATTCAAAATTTTATATTCTTTTGTTTGATGTATGTATGAAACAGAATTTATTTTTGGAAATGTGATAAAAATCTATATTTGCAATATTATTTACCTTAGCAACGCCGTAGCAACCACAAACATACCTTCTTTA